TATTAGTTTTGTGGGGATACCAAATTTATACATCGTGACATAAAGGAAGATTTCATGCTGTCAAAAGCAGCTTTTAAATCACGAAGAGGTTGTGTGTGYCGACTCTCCTTCACGGGTCTTTTTCATTTTTGGCGCATATTGAATATCTGGCCGCTTTGTTGTTCTTCAGACGTATAATTTCTATTCGAATTTCTTCATGGTCGGGCAATGGAACGCCCRCTCTATCGTCAACAATTGGGAAATTCCCCATCTTCTGGTGTTTTGCTTTCACAGTCATTCAGCAGGCGGATTAAGTGTTGCCTCCACAATTGTAGTATGCTCTGGGCATCAGTCACCCAGATCATCTCTGGGGGTTCTGCAAGAGTATGCTCCAGTCTTAAAACCTTCTGTTAGTAGGCGCAACTTTTCTTATAATTTTCGAGCGTTACCCTTGTCGGCCAGCTTGTCAAGCTCTTCATATTCCCGCATATCGGCCTCTCTCTTTTTTGTTTGCAAATGCGTCTAGCTTACCTCTTTAATCCATGTTATGGATATAAAAATATAAGTGGTACTTGATTACACCCAAAAAAAGAGTCCATACATTGATGCACTATTTAAGTTGCTTTAATGCGCGTGATTTTGACTAAAATTGACGCTTAGTAAAGAGGGCTACAAATTCTACTGTCTGCCGTGTTTGTTCTTCTATATGCATTGAAGTTCGAGKAATTCTGTCATCACATTAGTACAATGGTGACTTTCATTACATTATCACCGTTATTTGTATGCTTGCGTATTTCGTGAGCTATCGATTTCTAAATTAGCTTGTAAATAGCTGTTAATGACTTAAGATAATATATATGTACATACATATACATATGTATTTACATTATAGCAGGTCTATTTTTATCYATAAATCGCATAAGCGGGAAATGTTCTACAAGTCTTTCTGAAAAATTTTGCCTAAAGCACAAAGGAACTAAAGCCAGTTTCAAGGCAGCGAAGTGTAAAAAGKCTGAATAGTAAGTTGTGTGGAGGTATGTGATACAGTTATACGTATTAAATTTCATTCGATTATCTCAAAACCCGACGAAAAAATTTTATGATCCTTAAATAACTTCGCCTTAAAAATCGTTGCTCGAAACCGTTTTTAGACCCATAGTCTCTCCGGCAAAGTTGATCAGATTGGACACTAGAATATTTCCCTTATACGCGATGTTTAAATTTTTTGCTTCTCCGTAAATTGACCCGCTCTAATGTACATACATACATATGTATGTTAAGAATAAACTTATGCAAGCACTTTTTTGTGGCCATTGATTAAAATATTCCCGGCTTATTGAACTATTTTTGTCAACCAACTTGCTATCCATTAGACTGTAAAGGTTAATGTGTGTAGCTAAGTAATTTGTTCCTTGTTTGCTTCACTCTTTSGTAATTAGCAATGTAATGAAGGGAAGTTTTATAGGTGAGAGTAGTCATGTGWTATCTTTCGAGCCAGAGTTAAATGGAATCGGTGTAGTAATTACATTCTTTACTKGACTGAATGATGACTTCAAGAGGTGGGGTTATTATAACWGAAACTCGTATTTTTTGGTAAAAAAGATCMTCATATGAAGTTATTAAAATTAATAARGTCAATATATATATATAAATCTTATAAATAGCTAAATTTCAGATTAGAACATTGCCTTGGACTCCATAAGAGTCTGATCAATTGACAGGCCAAAACTATTACTCGGATCAACTTGAAAATGTAGAACAATATTCTATAGTGTTGTAAAATTTAATAAGACAATAAAAAAATCGATTTTTTGAAAACCGTAAATCCACGTAATCCCTTAAAAAAGTACATTGACATTTTCTGGATCTCYCTTTGGTTGGATTAATCGATTTTCGTTTGTATTAACGCATTTGTAATAGAAAAGAGTCTGCCATAAAATCAGCTCAGCTTGTAAAACCAGGAGTGATTCCACAGAGTTCGAAACTCGGAATGTATATATTTCTTCTTCCATTACGTCTACTACACCAACGACCGATATACAAGCACTTTATTGAGTAGATTTCCATTTCATTTGCTAATCGTGGAAATTTTTCAACATTGACATTTTCCAAGGTTGACTCATTAATTTCCTTT